TAAAAGAACTCCAGGCGTTTGGCAGACAGAAGGTGGGAGGTTGTGTTCTGTCCAGTACATGCATGTGCACTTTTGTCCATTCATTAAACGTGAGTGTGTTTACTTTCTGCAGAGTATGGGGGGAGTTTGTGTCTCAGTTCAGCTCTGTCCTCTTGTATTGTGGTCTGGCAGCCATGAGCTTATGAGAGCTCTCCTGTCTCAACGCCTCAATAGCTCCATTATTCATGAAACTGAGTGCCAACAGCCTTGACTGACCTATGTGTGAGTTTGTGTGTATCTCCAAGTCTTTGTGTGGCGTGGTATTCATGTGTGCTTTAAGTACATCGCCACAGCTTTCAGTGGAAGTTCATAGAAATTTGTGAACTAATATAATATTTTCTTTGGCATAGAGAGCTGAAATGAAGATTATTAGTGCCTGAATGGAAGGCAGCTGGACTCTCTTTTCTTTGCGCTCGTAAAGCATTAGTTTGGTTTGAGTTGCTGTCTCCAGTACCTGACAAGAGTTTTCTTTTACTCTGCACCTTCAGAGTTGGTGCTGCTGTTGTTTGGTGGTTGAAACAAATGGGCTCTGTTTCCCAAACTAAATGAGATTAAGATATTGTGCATGACTGAAACAGGGTTTTCATAGTTAATATTGTCACAGCTTGATATAATGATATATTGCACCACATAACATAAGTTAAATACACAGTCCTATTCTGGTCAGCACTGTAAAAACATTTGGTGTACTCTTTGACAAAACTCCTGCAAAGTCAAAGGATTATAAAATTATCTTCATAACGTGTTCATAAATCAAAATTTCCATAACATTTTCAACAAAATTCAAGTACCTTTTTTTTTAATTCACAAACAATTTAAGCTTTAAACACGTTTTACTAAGCTTCATGATCAAACATCCTTTATCTTTATCCGCTTCTTCCTTTTCGGGTCACGGGGGTCACTGGTGCCCATGTCCATCTATCACTGTGCGAGAGGCGGGGGACACCCTAGACAGGTCTCCAGTCCATCACAGAGACATATAGAGACAAACAAGACAAACAACCATTCACTCTCCAACTCACACCTAGGGACAATTTAGAGTTACCAATCAGCCTAACATGCATGTCTTACGTCTGTGGTAAGAAACCGGAGTAAACCCATGCATGCATGGAGAGAACATGACAACTCCACTCAGAAAGGTCCCCAGCCAGGATTTGAACCAGGGCGACCTGCTCGCTGAGAGGTGGCAGCTCTACCCATTGCGCCACCGTGCTGCCCCAGCTCTAAGATCTGTTTCATAAATGTTTTACCAAAAGACGTATAAATACTTATATATATTTTTTTAATGTTTAATAAAAAAGTATAAAGATTTTAAAACCTGATCTAAAGATCAACAGCTTTGTGCTCAGAAACTCTTCAAAAATTTGCAAACATGGATGCCTCGTGTGTTTTCAGGACTGTATGTAAAACCGAAGCTTTTGGCTGCAGTGAGCTGTGTGCAGAAGAAGAAAAACAGGTTGACAGTTTTGTAAAATGAACATTTCTTCAACTTTTAGACTTATTTGCCAATGGGACAGATGAATGGAGACAAGAATGTTTCTATGCATTTCAGTGTTTGCACTTATCACAGGTGTTGTCATAGACAGTAGATATCTAGACCTCCAACTAGAAGCCAGACTTTGAAGCTTAAACAGGACCAACATCCCTGATGGGTTTTAGAGCATCTTAGTTTTTAACTCTTGTTGATTCTTGTAGTTCTTATCTTACTGTTGTACGTCAAAATACACATTTCCCCAGTGTTTAGTTGTAATTAGTTATTTCAGCCTAAAATGAAAAGTCATGTGACATCATAATCTTGTGTGGGAGAGTATGAGGGACTGAAAGCTCTATAACCAGTGCTCCATCTCAAAAAGAAATATCTACATGGCAGCTCCCATAACCTGGGTGCTGCTGCTTCAGTTTCCATTAATGAGAGAAGAAAGGGACACTTAGTCAATTTTACATACAGTCTCTGGGAAATCTGTGAGTTGTGGTACTATTTTAGGAGAATTATAAGAGTGATAAACCAAACTTTGTTCCTGCTATGTTCATATTTTGAAGGTAAAGTAGTGAATTGTTATAATCTTGCCTAAATATATAAGAAAATATTTAATTTCTATTTGTATGACTTTTGGAAGTAATTTAATATTTTCATTCCTAATTAATGAGATAATTAAAAATTGGTTACAACTGTCAGTGTATGCCTAACGTGAGACTATTGTTAAAACATTTTATCATTAAGCATGCAAAGCTTCTTGTTAAATGTACCAAAAGATGCTTTTATTTCACATTTAGTTTTTGCCCTATTCATTCACAGAAATACCATCTGCTCCACAGAGCAGCGTATTTATCGAACACTAGACGGATTTTTACAGAGTGGAACAGAAGAAGGAGTGATAGGGGTAATTTTGGGGAGGGGTAGAGGGGTAAAAATGAAAAGGGGGTAAAAGCCGGCTGCCTGCCTGTTACTCAGTGCCAACTGTGAGGTGCAATATAATAAAGGAGACTGTTTCCAGTGAAAGGCCTTATTGTTCTGGGTATCCACAGACACAGCCCAAAGTACTGAAAGAGGGGTGTGTGCGTGTGTGTCGGTGGGGGGTGGGGTTACATTTTTCACACCATAAATTCTATATATTTATTCTGCAGGTTTTCTTCAGTGATCTTCTTTTTGCTTTTGGTTGTGTTGTTTAGGTACGTTTTTAACTTGGGGATAAAATCACTGACTAAAGCCCCTTTTCCACCACTCCTATTAAGCTTGGATCGGCTCGGTTCACCTCGACTCGGTTTGGTACACATTGTGTTTCCATTGCCCCTTTCAGTACCAGTTCCAGTGGACGGGGTTCAAATTGACATAACGCGCCGTACCAGCTGGTGGGGGTAAGACCATGGAAACAGGTTTCAGTACAGGGTGAGAATTTATTTAGAAGTTTCTGGTAAATTAAAAAGAATACAGATTAATAAAATGATCATCTAAGTTATATATAAATATATAAATTTAAATTTTGATACATTTTCTTCATTGTTTGATGAATTTGCACTCATTGTGTCTACTTTTATTGTTCAGTTTAAATGTGTGGTTTTGTTTCTTGTTCACATATTTTTTTTTTTAGGTTTTCTTCAAAGTTTAATTCTTGTTCTGTGCTTTGTACATCTGTGGGTTAGAATAAAGTTGAACTAAAGGCCTTATCTCTTCTTTAAACATATTTGAGGGAAATATTCCTGAGAAATCCAACAATTTTGTGTATTTTTATGATTTTTCAGCTGAGTTAACGTTAACAGATTATTTAATAGTCATTAAAGTGAAAACAGGATTTCATGATAAAGCCGGCACCGTTTATTTAT